GCCGCTCTGGTATTGGTGCCATCCCCAAAAAGAACGGCAAGCTGCGAATGATCCACCATCTGTCTAGTCCGGAAGGCACCGGCGCGAACGACAGCATTCCTGCCGAGCCGCTCTCTCTCTGCACTACGCGAGCATTGACAACGCGATCAACATCATCAGGTCATGCCCACAGCCTGTGTATTTGTCCAAGCTCGATGTACGCAGTGCATTTCGGCAGATCCCAGTCCGCCGTCAGGACTTCGCTGGGAAGGCTCCTACTACTACGAGCGCTTTCTGCCTTTCGGCCTCCGCTCCAGCCCAGCCGTCTTTGACTCAGTAGCCACAGCAGTCAACTGGATCATGCAGCACGAGTTTGCTATAGATCACCAGCTTCATTACCTCGATGACTTTCTCGATATCTCCACTGGTTTGGCTGCAGCCAACCAGCAACTCAACATCCCCCTCCGGGCATTCACGTATCTCGGCACTCCTCTTTGCTCCATCCCAGCTCGAAGGGCCACCACCATCATTGACCTTCCTTGGTATTGTCCTAGACTGCGAGCGCCACGAAGCTCGGCTACCAGAGGACAAGCTGTCCGAGATCCGTGCGCCACTCATGGCTACTATCAGCGAGCGCAGCATCGGCCAGCGTCAACTCGAGTCCCTCCTGGGGAAGCTCACTTTTGCTGCCCGAGTCATCGTCCTGGACACACATTCATGCGTGAACTATGATCAGCGTGCCCTGAACTGTATCTGTGTATGCGAGTGCGGTGCATAAAGCCCACCTTGAGAATGGGTTTGCCGGCCCCTTAGTAGATGCGTGGCTTCTGAAGAGGGTGTTGAAGGGCATCCAGCGATGCCATGGTACGGCCGTACTCACCCCTCGCCTTCCTATAACTATGCCAATCCTACGACACCTGACGGATGCACGCCGGAAAAGTAGTATCCTGAATGGCCATGACAAGCTGCTCTACGAAGCCGCCATGCTGCTTCTTTGGATTTCTTCGGTGTGCTGAATTCACTAATGGCATCACACGGGGCTGTACTAGCTCCCCTGGTGACGGACGCCTGCAACTCTTCCTGCTTTCATCCAAGACGGACCCATTCGGTAAAGGCGTTACTAGTGACATTAGCCCGTCTGTACCGCCGTACTGCCCGGTCCGTGCCATTGTTAGCTACCCATTTGTAACTCGTCGCGAGGGACCGGAGCAACTCTTGTTCGTACTCTCGAACAGACAGCAGCTGACCAGGCAGTCATTCACAGTAACAGTATGGTCTCTTGTCGCTGCGGCCGGTGTACCATCCCAGTCGAACTACTCCGGGCATTCGGTCCACATTGGTGCAGCCACCACCGCTGCTATGGCTAGTGCCCCCGTCCTTCTTCCGAGTGGCAGGTCAGTGGAAAGAGCGATGCGTGTCTATGCTACATCCGGACTACAACAAGCGGTAAGCGCCAGCTATCGTCCCGGCTTGCTGCCGTGCCATGGATGACATGATCCCCAACTCGGGTGAGTAATAAGCTACTGAACTCTAGCTGCACAATGCTTGCCTGTGCTGACATTAGTTGACCCTTGCTGTGCGTCAATAGTGCTTAGCTAACGGAGTGCTGGTTTCATGGGTCCACTCTCACAACTGGTGTTATCTAGCTATTTGCTGCGGCTCTGCCTTGCGCTATATTACATCCATTTAGCATTGCAGCTCTACGTTGAGCTAACAGCAGCTCTACTTTGAGCTAACAGCAGCTCTACTTTGAGCTAACAGCAGCTCTACTTTGAGCTAACAGCAGCTCTACTTTGAGCTAACCGCAGCTCTACTTTGAGCTAACAGCAGCTCTACTTTGAGCTAACAGCAGCTCTACTTTGAGCTAACCGCAGCTCTACTTTGAGCTAACAGCAGCTCTACTTTGAGCTAACAGCAGCTCTACCTTGAGCTAACAGCAGCTCTACTTTGAGCTAACAGCAGCTCTACTTTGAGCTAACAGCAGCTCTACTTTGAGCTAATCGCAGCTCTACTTTGAGCTAACCGCAGCTCTACTTTGAGCTAACAGCAGCTCTACTTTGAGCTAACAGCAGCTCTGCTCTGAGCTAACAGCAGCTCTGCTCTGAGCTAACAGCAGCTCTGCTCTGAGCTAACACCAGCTCTACTTTGAGCTTCAAACCAGTTGTTTCGAAACCAGCACTCCTCAATCCAAAGATGCCTCTTTGTTGACTTGTTTGTGTGAGGGATGGGGCTAATGGTGTACTAGCTGTGCTAGTACTTGTTAGCAACAATCCGAACTAGCGCACACACTGCACTGCATTGCTTTGTACTGCATTCAAGACTGACGTCATGCGCTTTGTTTTGCTGCGTAATCACAAATGGCACCAGCCCATTTTGCGGAAAAGAAAAAACAAATCTTGCTTGCCCTGTTGTGCTCTTCCAGACAACGGATCGTGCTTCAGCAGTGTTTCTTTTCCCACCATCCCTCCCTATCCAACTTATTCACACCATCATAATTATCATACCCACTAATCGGGTCCACTCTCACAACTGGTGTTATCTAGCTATTTGCTGCGGCTCTGCCTTGCGCTATATTACATCCATTTAGCATTGCAGCTCTACGTTGAGCTAACAGCAGCTCTACTTTGAGCTAACAGCAGCTCTACTTTGAGCTAACCGCAGCTCTACTTTGAGCTAACAGCAGCTCTACTTTGAGCTAACAGCAGCTCTACTTTGAGCTAACCGCAGCTCTACTTTGAGCTAACAGCAGCTCTACTTTGAGCTAACAGCAGCTCTACCTTGAGCTAACAGCAGCTCTACTTTGAGCTAACAGCAGCTCTACTTTGAGCTAACAGCAGCTCTACTTTGAGCTAATCGCAGCTCTACTTTGAGCTAACAGCAGCTCTACTTTGAACTAACCGCAGCTCTACTTTGAGCTAACCGCAGCTCTACTTTGAGCTAACAGCAGCTCTACTTTGAGCTAACAGCAGCTCTGCTCTGAGCTAACAGCAGCTCTGCTCTGAGCTAACAGCAGCTCTGCTCTGAGCTAACACCAGCTCTACTTTGAGCTTCAAACCAGTTGTTTCGAAACCAGCACTCCTCAATCCAAAGATGCCTTCTTGTTGACTTGTTTGTGTGAGGGATGGGGCTAATGGGACTGGGGTGGTGAACGAGGACATGGCACCTTTAAACGGCACGGTGGAGCACGTGCACTCCTTTCGTTATCTTGGATGCCATGTGACACCGGATGCCAGGTGTACCTATGATGTGTCGCGTAGAATTGCTGCTGCATCGGGCGCTTTCCACAGTTTGAAGGATGCAGTGTTCTACAACTCGGACTTCACCATCGGCATCAAGCGTGTAGTCTATGGCGTCACTGTTCTGGCTGTCCTCCTGTATGGTTGTGAGACTTGGACAACACGGCAAAGGGACCTGCAGCGGCTTGACGTGTTTTACCATCAGTGCTTGAGGATGATCTTGCACATCGGTCGTGCACGCCAGATTGATGGGCACATCTCCAATTTGCAGGTGCGGAAATGGTGGGGCGACTTGGAGCAGCCGGCTGACAAGATTCGCAGGCGGCGGCTGCAGTGGCTGGGCCATATGGCACGTATGACGAGGGGCGACCGCATCCCTCGTCAGCTGTTGTTTGGCTCCTTGCCATCGAAGCGCCCACCCCATGGTCCGAGGAAGCGATGGAGGGACGTGGTGCGGACCGACCTGGCGGCAATTGGCATTGAGCCCAATTCCTGGCTCGACGTGGCAAGTAATCGCCGTGTGTGGAAGTCCCAGTGCCTTGATGGGGTGTATCGTATTGTACTTGCCCATCAAGAGCCTGTCGACAAGCCTCTGCTTTGCGGTGTGTGCAACCGCAGTTTCCGCCGCCGTCAGGATATCGCACGGCATCGTTGTACATCGCGGCGTTCAATAGCAATTATAACCCGTGGGAATGCGCCGTCACGTCAGTCGTTGGGTCCTGGTGCCGCTTCCCGGAGACAGCGCTAATCCAAGAGCTGCCCCGTATGGGGCCACTTAGCCAGTCATGGCAGTGGAGAAGAAGGAAAAGGAGGTGTGTGTGTGTGTGTGTGTGTGTGTGTGTGTGTGTGTGTGTGTGTGTGTGTGTGTGTGTGTGTGTGTGTGTGTGTGTGTGTGTGTGTGTGTGTGTGTGTGTGTGTGTGTGTGTGTGTGTGTGTGTGTGTGTGTGTGTGTGTGTGTGTGTGTGTGTGTGTGTGTGTGTGTGTGTGTGTGTGTGTGTGTGTGTGTGTGTGTGTGTGTGTGTGTGTGTGTGTGTGTGTGTGTGTGTGTGTGTGTGTGTGTGTGTGTGTGTGTGTGTGTGTGTGTGTGTGTGTGTGTGTGTGTGTGTGTGTGTGTGTGATGTTTGTCGCCGCTCTTTCCGCTCTCATTCTGGTTTGAGCCGTCATCACTGTGACCGTGCGAAACGGATGTCACGGGCAGCCAGGAACAACTGCCGTCATGAATGCGAGCATTGCGAAAGACGGTTCTCAAGGCCACAGGACTTGCAACGCCATGCCAAATATTGTTGACTTTGCGATTTCTCTCTCTTCTCTTCTCTCTTCTTGTCGTTGTCTCCCGCTTCTGGGAGCGGCGTGGCCCGATAGGGTAGCTGTACATAGTAGTAGTAGTAGTAGTAGTAGTGTGTGTGTGTGTGTGTGTGTGTGTGTGTGTGTGTGTTTGTGTGTGTGTGTGTGTGTGTGTGTGCGTGCGTGCGTGCGTGCGTGCGTGCGTGCGTGCGTGCGTGCGTGCGTGCGTGCGTGCGTGCGTGCGTGCGTGCGTGCGTGCGTGCGTGTGTGTTTTTAGCTCTCGTCCTTTGGCAGTTTTTTCGTCCAAAGTTCTTTCTCCGTGGGACGACTCTGGGCTTCCAGGGTCGTCCCAAGGGCGGTGGCCCTTGACTGCGCGCGTGGGAGCTCACGACGTCAAGACTGGGTGGTTTCCTGTTGCCACCACTTGTCGTCGTCCTGCGCGCGCCCGTTCGTGTAGATTGGCTCTCTACTCGGACGTCTATCTAGTAAGCCCTTAGTACAATGGCGAGAAAGGAGACGAGGAGAAAGAGGAGACGGAGGTCGTGGATAAAATTTGGCTCGTGGAATGTCCGCAGTCTGGTGAATTGTGATGGCCCAGTTGAGACGGCGACAACTCGAAATTTGAATTTGAAAAATTCAAACCAAGTGAATTGCATCGTGGAAGATAGGAAGATCAACATCGTGGTTCGCGAAGCTCGACGACTTGGTATCGAGACCCTTGGACTCCAAGAGACGAAGTGGTTTGGCAACAATGTATACAATGTTGAGGATGCTGTTGTTGTTGCTTCTGGTCGACCGACACCCGTGGAAAATTTCGCTCGTGGCGAGGGAGTCGCGCTCGTGATGCGGGGCCGCTCAGCGCTGGCGTTTGCAGCAGGCGGCCGACAGTGGACAGCTGTGTCTTCTCGTGTGATGGTCGTAAAGTTGCAGTTTGCTCTGGAGTCTGGCAAGTCGCAGTGGGTTCATGTTCTTGTTTGCTACGCTCCCACTTTCCGCAGTAGTCGTGATGAAAAATTCAAATTTTTCAATTCGCTTGAACACGTGCTTCTGTCAATTCCGGTCTCTGATAAACTCATCGTACTCGGAGACTTCAATGCTCGAGTTGGTTCAGGGCAGCGTGATGACGAGTGGCACAGAGTTCGCGGTCCTTTCGGTACTGGAGCTATGAATGAGTCTGGTGAACGTTTACTCTTGTTCTTGGCTCTGCATGGTCTGCAAATCTGTAACACCTGGTTCAAGAAGCGGGACGCAGAACTGCACACATGGCAACACCCACGCTCGCAGGCATGGCACTGTATCGACTTTGTCTTCACTAGGCGAGCGGATCGTACCAGCTGCATGGACTGTCATGTTGTTCGCCGTGCAGAGTGTAGCACTGATCACAGATTGGTGTGTCTGACCTATCGCCTTCCGGCACCAGTCCACCGCCAGCGCCTGCCACCGCGAAACCCTGGGAAACGTAGCGTGTTCGATGTAAGCCAATTGAAGACGTGTACGGGTATGAGTGAGGAGGAGCGGGAAGTTGTTGAGTGCAACAGGGCAGTGTACCGAAGTGCTCTTGGTGATCGACTGAAATCGTGTCACGTCACCCATGAAGACACCTGGCAGCCTATCAAGTCGGCGATTGTAGATGCTGCCGAAGCTTCCATCCCTGCACGGAAATCTCGACGTCAGCCTGACTGGTTTGCAGACAGCGCAACAATCCTTGAACCCAAGCTGCAACATCGAAACCGTGCCTATGCCCAGTGGCTTCAGTCTGCTGATCCCGCTGACCTTTCAGCTTTCCGCAAGGCCCGTAGTGCAGCGCGTACTGCAGTTCGAACGGCAAAGCGTGTCTGGTTGCAGAGAAAGGCGGATATGGCACAGTCTGGCAAGTTCAGTGGGGAGCGCGTCTGGTCAGCCATCCGGGACATCCAGCGCTGCTACAATGGTATGAAACCTGTCGCCTCTCATTCCATTCGCAAATCTGATGGAACCCTGTGTGTGTCAGCGGAGGAAGAGCGTGTTTGCTGGCAGCAACATTTCACCCGTGTTCTCAATGTCATTAGTGTGTTCGATGTCTCTGTCTTCCAGCAGTTGTCCTGCCGGGAAGTTGACGACAGCCTGGCATGCCCTCCAACGGCTGTGGATATTGAGTGCGCTCTCCATCATCTGGCCAACGGCAAGTCGGCTGGTTCGTCTCTCATCGTTGCGGAGCTGTTGAAGCACGGCTTTACTGTTCTTCGGCCACACCTGGATGCACTCTTCTCCACATGCTGGTCAGCGTCATCTGTGCCTCAGGAGTGGAAAGATGCTGTGCTCGTCCCTATTCCAAAAAAAGGTGACTTGAGCAAGTGTGACAACTGGAGGGGAATAGCCTTATTGGACGTCGTCGGGAAGCTTCTCGCACGTGTTATTCAGGACCGGCTGCAACCTCTTGCTGAGGCACATCTCCCTGAAAGCCAATGTGGTTTTCGGCGCGGGCGATCCTGCACAGATGCCATCTTTTGCGTGCGACAGGTAGTCGAGAAGGCATTCGAGCACCGCTGTAAGGCCTTTCTCGTTTTCATCGATCTCCGCAAGGCGTACGACTCGGTACCGCGCGCTGCACTGTTGCTGGCCCTTGAGGTGTATGGTGTGCCTGGGTCACTCATCCAGCTGATTGACGGCTTCCATTCAGGCATGCAGGCTGCTGTTCGGGTTGATGGTGATGTGTCTGGGAACATCTCGGTTGAGAATGGTTTGCGGCAAGGGTGCGTTATGGCCCCACTGTTGTTTAATCTGTACTTTGGTCTTGTGCTGGAAGCATGGCGTTCAGCTATAGCAGCAGCTGGTGTTAATGGTGTGTCCCTGATATCTTCAATCCATGGAAGTGGCAATCTATTTCCCAAGCGAACCCGTCAAACTGGCACGACATCGGTCAACGACCTGGAGTTTGCAGATGATGCAGCACTACTTGCACCATCCCGTGAGTCAGCTCAACTGGCTTTGGAGCTGTTCAGCAACGTTGCTTCTTCCTTCGGCTTGACTCTGAGTACAGCGAAGACCAAGTTCATGGCCGTTGGTGCAAATTTATCATGTGCTGACCGCCTTCCGCTCTTTGTTGGTCCGGAGGAGATCGAAAGTGTCAAATCCTTTGTGTATCTTGGCTCTGTGATAACTGCTGACACCCGCTCATCTGCAGATGTGGCCAGAAGACTCGGTAAGGCAGCGGCAGCTTTCGACCTTATGCGCCGTGTCTTTCTTGACCGAAACCTTTCCATCGCCACCAAGCGCCATCTTTACGATGTTTGCGTTCTGTCCACATTGCTCTATGCCTGTGAGTGCTGGACTCCGCTGAAGAGAGACATGGTTGCCATCAACAACTTCCACCACCGCTCCCTCAGGTTCATTCTGGGTGTATCCCGGCTCGATCAACAGCTGCAGCATGTCAACAACCAGGAGCTGCGAAGACGCTGGGGTGATATGGCACTGCCATCTGATACCGTCAGACACCGCCGTCTGCAGTGGCTTGGGCATGTCGCCAGAATGCCAGATAACCGGCTTCCGAAGCTGATACTGTTTAGCTTCTTCTCAGATCCACGCCCAGCCTGTGGGCCACGACTGCGATGGAAAGACCTCGTCGCACGTGATCTTCGTTTCGGTGGCATAGTCAATTGGCTCACTTTGGCTCAGGATCGCCCAGCATGGCGCGAGGCAATTGCAAAGACTCCGGATGATCTCGTGGAGTGTAACAACAACAAAGTCACCTGCAAGGTTTGCAACCGATCATTCACTGCTCGTGGGATTCACCGTCACAAGTGCTCAGCTGTACGGTCCTTACCTGTTGCCCAGCAGCCTGGGGCCCTTCACTGTGGAGTTTGTGACCGCTGGTTTCAAAGCGCTGGCGGTTTTGCAGTTCATCGTTGTGTGGAGCGTCAGACATCGGACGAAATACCAGCTGTTTCAACGAGATGCAGCCTGAATTTGGACTGCTGCCAGCACCATTGCTCGATCTGTGATCGCTGCATGAAGAGTCAGGCTGGTTTTAACCGCCATAATTGTACTCGAGGCAAACGACTGCGAAAGGACCAGAGGACTAATCTGCCCATTCAATGCAGCATATGTAACGAACGATTCTCCCGCCCGCAGGACCTCACCCGCCACCGAAGACAGAAACACTAGCTATGTGTAGAACGGTCCCCTTTCACCTCAATTATTCTCCTTGTTTCTTTTTTTTCTCGCTGTTGTCTCCCGCTTCTGGGAGCGACGTGGCCATTTTGTGGCAGTTGTACATAGTAGTAGTAGTAGTAGTGTGTGTGTGTGTGTGTGTGTGTGTGTGTGTGTGTGTGTGTGTGTGTGTGTGTGTGTGTGTGTGTGTGTGTGTGTGTGTGTGTGTGTGTGTGTGTGTGTGTGTGTGTGTGTGTGTGTGTGTGTGTGTGTGTGTGTGTGTGTGTGTGTGTGTGTGTGTGTGTGTGTGTGTGTGTGTGTGTGTGTGTGTGTGTGTGTGTGTGTGTGTGTGTGTGTGTGTGTGTGTGTGTGTGTGTGTGTGTGTGTGTGTGTGTGTGTGTGTGTGTGTGTGTGTGTGTGTGTGTGTGTGTGTGTGTGTGTGTGTGTGTGTGTGTGTGTGTGTGTGTGTGTGTGTGTGTGTGTGTGTGTGTGTGTGTGTGTGTGTGTGTGTGTGTGTGTGTGTGTGTGTGTGTGTGTGTGTGTGTGTGTGTGTGTGTGTGTGTGTGTGTGTGTGTGTGTGTGTGTGTGTGTGTGTGTGTGTGTGTGTGTGTGTGTGTGTGTGTGTGAAAAGCCACAGCTAGAGAGAGAGGGAAAGAGAAAGAGAAAGAGAGAGACAGAGACACAGAGAGACAGAGAGAGAGAGACATAGACAGAGGATGCAGAGACAGAGAAACGAAAAGACAGAGGGAGAGGTTGAGAAACAGAGAGAGACACACAGAGAGACACACAGATACAGAGACAGAGCCAGATACATAGATACAGAGCGAGAGATAGGATTCAGTGCTGACTTCACGAGAGCTTCCTTGAGGTTGAGCGGAGTACGTTTATGTACGACATTGACAGGGAACCCCATTAACCCGACTACAGGTCGTCCCTCGTTAATACATAATCTCTGGGACTTGACAAATGTTATGTATTAACGGGGTTTATGTACTAAACGAAAGTGTACATAACTTGCTTGTGAACCAGAATTTTTTTCACTTTTTTCCACTTTTCTGAGTGTTTCTTGCTACCATGACTAGGGAGCGAGATATACTTGATTCCCTCAATATGACATAAAAATTATTATATTATTATATTATAACGGTCACAGTCAGCGAAGATTCTACAGTTTACATGATAGCATGCCAGCCATGCCTGTAAAGTCACTCGGAAAAAACGGAGCTTTCTCGGCGTGTGATGTGCGCTCTGATTTCTGCGCTAATTGCGTCCACAAGTAGAAACCAGAACACAATGTGCCTCCACTGGAAGGCCGAAAAACCAACAAATTATGTATTATTGAGGTAGGTGGTCCGGAAAAATGTTATGTACTAACGGGGTTTTTGTACTAACGAATTATGTACTAACCGACAAAATTTGTATGGAAGTGACCACGTTTCGTCCGGGACTTGAGATTTCTGATAACTAACGGGGTTTATGTACTAACCGGACTCGTATTAACGGGGGACGACCTGTATTATGCTGAATGACTTTTGAGGGAAATGATAGCGTTAGTTTAGCATCATCTTTTTTCATTATCTTGTTGTTACTGTTCTAAACACCATCCGGCACTATTACTCATTCTACTTCCCCATGGCTAGATCTAGCTTCGCTTTGCATTTCTGATTCTTTTTCCTGGTGCGTTTTTGTGGGATTGAAGCCGAGACCTTTGGTCGGTGGAGCCCCTGGCACCTCACCATCACTGCTGCCCAGTGCAGCCCCTACTCAGTTGCAGTTTGTTTTTGTCCACATAATTATTTATTTTACGAGTTGGGTGTGTAAATAATAGTAAAAAAAAATAATAATAATGCAAGGCTCACATTGTTGGTTGATGTGGCAACTTTACTGATGAAGCTCTTCGATGATTGCCTCCGGATAGTTATTGTTTCACAGCAGATGCTTCGTCATACCGAGACTCTCATGGGCCTGTTCACATCAGGATCAATTCTTTCGAGCTCGGCACGAGACAACATAATTATTATAAAAGAAGAAGAGGTTGGTGTGACTTCAGCGATACTTGGGGAATTGTGTGTTGCTCCCTACGGGGCAGCTTGGGCTATTCCTGTCGACTTGAATTTTCACTTGACTGACTCATGACTGCCATCCAGAGCAACCGAGACGTCCATCTACTCGGCAAACCTGCAAGAAAGCACCACTTTTAAAAGAACACCTTTCAATGCAGTGCATTCGCAGATTGTGCTTAGCAACTGTATACAGAGTTTGTCAGTTGATAAACGACATTTTCTTTCACAAGGCAATTGCGAGATATCCACAAAGTTCTTTGTGGTTATGTCCTGTTTTCGAAAAAGAGTTAGGTTTAGAGCATAGGTGCAAACCGGGTCAAATCAAAGCTAGTTCTATGAGTCAGCCGTGGCCAATGATGACAGTTATGGACTATTGCTGTGTTTTTGTTGTTGTTGTTTTCTCCCATCTTTCAAAGATGTTTAATGCCGCACTGTTGGAGGCGATGCAGCTTGAATTTGCAAGTAAGTACATGTTGTAGAAGCTTGGCCCTGCTTCTAGCATATCTCAGTAATATCTCATAAATGCACAAAACCGACTCTATGTTGACACCCGGCGCTGTACTTCCTACAGCAAACTGTTAACCCTTTGAAGCCCAAGGAAAAGTATATTCGTCCCCAGTGATTTCCCAAGGACGAGTTTACTTGTCCCAACGCGTACTGTAAGCGCACTGAGCATGAATCACTGTTATATCTTTGTACCTCCGTTGCTATTTCTTTGATTTTCAACCAAGATAGCTTGTTAGAAAGCTGAGGAAAGAAGTGGAAACTCTATGAGGTGGTTGTACGGTTAACCCTGTGATACTATAAAGAAGAATTTCAATGATACAGACATCGTTCTTGGCTGTTGTTTTGAACAACCATCACATGCAGAAAAAACAATCGGGAAGAACTACCCCAACTACACTAAAGAGTGCGGGGCGCAGCTCGGAAAGGGAAGAAAGTGAGAAGGGGACATGGGGAAAGGAGAAGAGAGAGAAAGCGACAGGAAGACAAGGTGAAAGGGCGAGGAAGAGAAAGATGAGGGGCAAAGAGTTAACAAATTGCTTGTTTCACTCAGCCTGGAACACGAGTTCCAACAAAGTGTATAAGAGTACTTCTCCTGTCTGCACTCAAAAATGCGCCCAGGTGCCAGGCATAGGTCATGGAGCAAAAGTGCTTCTGGAAACATTGGCATGGTCGAAAGAACGGGAAAATTAAAAACTGAAAACTCCTCCACACGAAGGCCCTCCAAGCCGCGGCTGCTTCTGGTACTACTAGACTGGATTCGTAAGTCAGCCCGCCAGTCAAAACAAAAGAGGAAGATTGAGAAGATTGTGCCTGAAAAGAACCACTTATAGACTGCTCTCCAGGCCAAACTATAACCAGGGATACAAACTTACAGAGAAACTTTGTTTCCAGCGCGACATTCTGGACGCCGAGAGCCGCCAACGCGTCTACAACGGCTTTGTGCGACCCACATTCGAGTATTGCCCCTTAGTGTGGATGGGCTCACCCTCGTCCCATCTTAAGAAGCTGGACCAGATCCAGCGAAGGGCCCTCCACATCATCGGAGCAGGTACTTGGCTCCCTAGCCTGGCACTCCGTCGCCTGGTAGCTGCACTTGCCTATACCTACAAGCTCTGCTATCTAGATGCGTCCAGCCCTCTGAAGCAGATGCTGCCTAAACCAGCCAATCACCGTGCCCCTGAGACAAGACCTACCCGTCAGTCTCTCCAGCTGCAGGATTCCCATCCATACCAGATGACAACTGGCCTGCCTGCCAACACCCGGAATAGCTGTCTCCAAGGATTCCCTGCTTGCACCGTTGCAACATGGAATGCCCTGCCACCAGACCTGTTCCACCACCCACCCGCCCAGCCCCACATGCAAAGCTTTAAGAAAAAGGTGTACCGTCACCTTCTTGCTCAGGACTGGCTCTCTGCTACTGATGCACTTTTAATCTGCTCGCCAACGCTTTCCCTTTTCTTATGAGTGTTCAGCTGCTTACCTTATAACCCTGCTGCCATCATCACCAATATTCTGATTCTCATGCACATATCCCAGAACATGCTATCCTTCGCAGCCCCCATCACCAAGAGCACTGTGCTCTTCTATCTCCCAGCTTTCTCTATCTCTCTCTCTCTCTCTCTCTCTCGCTCGCTCTCTCTCTCGCTCGCTCGCTCTCTCTCTCTCTCTCTCTCTCCCTCTCTCTCTCTCTCGCTCTCTTTCGCTCTCTCTCTCGCTCTCTCTCGCTCTCTCTCTCTCTCTCTCTCTCTCCCCTCTCTCTCTCTCTCTCTCTCTTTCTCTCTCTCTCTCTCTCTCTCTCTCTCTCTCTCTCTCTCTCTCTCTCTCTCTCTCTCTCTCTCTCTCTCTCTCTCTCTCTCTCTATCTCTCTCTCTCTCTCGCTCTCCGAAGCTCTCTCTCTCTCTCTCTCTCTCTCGCGCGCGCGCGCTCTCTTGCTCTCTTGCTCTCTCTCGCTCTCTCTCTCGCTCTCTCTCTCTCGCTCTCTCTCTCTCTCGCTCTCTCTCTCTCTCTCTCGGTCTCTCTCTTTCTTCTCTTCTTCTTCCCCCCCCCCCTATCTCCCGATAATTATTAGCCCCCGTTTTCTTTCGACGCGTTTGCTGTGCAGTGAAGCCGAGACCCTAGGTCGGTGGAGCACAACAGACCCCGTTACCACGTCCACGATTCATGCTTGCGATGCTGCACCGCTGCTTTGCATGTCATGATTGGAAGCTGTGGCCTTAGTAAAAAAAAAAAAAAAAAAAAAACACCTCGTGAAGTCCCAGGTAGCAACGTGAGTGGGAGTCGCTCATGGAGTTGTGCTAGACAGAGGTTTGTATAGTTTGTATCCCTGGTGATGGTTTGGCCTGGAGAGCAGTATATAAGTGGTGCTTTTCAGGCACAATCTTCTTCTTCAGCCTACTCAAGTTCAACGGATGAGGGGTGAACTCCCCGAAACACTGTGTATTGAGCAGGTAGTGGTGCTTTCTTTCAGCTTTGCCAAGCGGAAAGTGCGACATGCTCCTGGTGTGCTCCGGATTGCAGACGTGAGTCAGTCAAGTGTCAAGTTAGTTTGGCAAGTAGCGTGTGCTTTTCGTTGGAGCAACCATCTTTATGAATAAATATTTTATTTCTTAAATAAAATATTTTTCTGGTGAAAAGCAGTGATAGAGTGTGAGCCAGTTTGCTCACAACCAATTTTTTTTTATTCGTTTTAGATACAATAATGTTCACATTATGGTACCATAAAATATCCTTCTTTTGTACTCCAACTCTCAAGGTGATGACTTTGCATCTGATGATTATCACATGAAAAGAACGTTGAAATCTTACAACTAGGGCTGAAACGATCGTAATTTTCCACCTATCGATTACTCTTAAAACTAGGGCTGAAACGATCGTGAATTTCCACCTATCGATTACTCTTAAAACTAGGGCTGAAACGATCGTGATTTTCCACCTATCGATTACTCTTTAGCTTAACACTCAGTTAATCGACTATAATCATTAACAAACAATGTCAAAATGTTCGCAAAAATTCCTCTGTTTCAACAAGCTATGAAGTTGGTTGTTCCAACTAGGAACACATGGTTATTGCCGAACTACGCGCTGGAAACAAAGTGTGTCTCTAAGTTTGTATCCTTGGTTATGGTTGGTCTGGAGAGCAGTATATAAGTGGTACTTTTCAGGCACAATCTTCCTCAGCCTACTCAAGCTCAACTGATGAGGCTGAATTCCCCGAAACACTGTGCATTGAGCAGGGAGTGGTGCTTTCTTGCAGGTTTGCCGAGTGGAAGCTGCGACGTGCTCCTCGTGTGCTCCTAGATGGCAGTCGTGAGTCAGCCAAGTGTCAAGTTCGGCAAGAAGAGTGTGTTCCTAGTTGGAACAACCAACTTCATGACTAATACCGGCGAAGTCGCAACTTCTAAGTTCAACAAGCTAATGATAAAGTTAACGTCATCATAATACCAAAAATTCAAAGGCTAGCTCCAGAACATGGCAGTTTTGAAGTCAATTGAACCTCAGAACAAGAACCCTACCCTGCCAATTGCATATTCACAGCGGAAACTGATTCAAAATTCACAAAAGAGGGTTTGTTAGTACTTTTTGGACTCAATATCCGTAATGAGTAATCTGTAGCGTAACGAAGTTAAAATAGTGTTCCATTGAGTCCGCTCAGTTAGCTTTCATTGTTATAAGTTTTCTTGTCTCCACGCGGACCTTTTAAGTTCCTTACAGTTTGGCATTGTTCATGTAACGTTGTATGTTTGGATGGATGTTTGGATGGTGCCTTTGTTGCTGATCCACCACACCATCACTCAATGCACTCTACTGCATTGTTCACCCACCACTGATTTTATACTTCTGCGGCTCCTTTGCCACTTTTCTTCTGATTCGTGCTGTTTTGGTTCTGATACAGTGATCGTTTGACGTTTGAAGGCGACAAGGTGACAACAGTGTAATGAATACCATAAACAGAACCAGCTTCTACTATAAGCTGATCTGTTTAGTGCCATCTTTTTCTAATTATATTTCTGCTTTTCTTGCTAGCGTCTTCTAAAATATATTCTTTGGTTTGTGCAAATAGTTGCAAAGGAAGTCCTAGATTATGGCTCCACCCTGTCACGATGAATCTCATATTCGCTCCGCATTTGTCAAGTTCAACACACTTTATTTGCAGAAAGAATCTGACTATTCTATTTCGGTCGTCCCTACTTGCATCTTCTTCAGTATATACTTTGGTTTGTGCAATTTTTTTCCTCATTGCTACTGCCAAGAGTAAATAACTACTTTTCGGTATTAAAAAAAAGCCATGTGTGAGTAGAATCCGGGCGTAAAGATTGTTTGTTTAGGTCAGAGTGAATAACCTTTGCTGCACGTCATACCGCTTCACACGGTGACTCCACGGTATCACCGAGGTGTGTTTTGTGGCGTATTGCTTGTCATGACGTCACGATGATGATGATCGTGAAAAGCAGGAGAAGCTATTCTCATCGCCATGGCGATACGGGTATATGGCCTCGAGCCTATGGTTTGATTGGTGTTGTAGGACTTACATCACCTAAACAGTCCTTCCCCAGACGCGCAAAAAAAGACCTCTCCCCACTAATCGATATAATAACAGATTCTTGACTGATTTTTGCCGCGAAAGCGAAAAAATGTTCTCAAATTTGAGAACTGTCCTAAATTGGTTCTGAGAGATGGAAGCCGTTTTATTTATTTTTTATTTATTTTCTGCACCTCGTGGCATGTCAAGACAGCCAATTGAATTGAGGAGAGGGTGAGACCAACCACGGAAGAAGAGAAAAAAAGAAAATGAAGAGCACGTACACAAAGTGGGAAGGGATTAGCAACTTAAAAAGCAATGGGATGCTCAGCGAGCTATGCAGCGGAAGTGGTGACTGTGACTTTGTTTACTGGGAGATACTGAAGTGCTGTAGAATTAGCTTCGAACGATTGAATCTGGTGTCATAATTAATGTTACTTTGTAGATTACAGAGAGGACAGAAACATTACTGTTCGGCTCATATAGGTACAAGTTGGGTGATGCACATCGTTACCGAAGATCACCAACTGTGGTGTGCCGCAGGGCTCACATTTATCACCTCTCTTGTTCTTAATCTACATTAATGACCTACCTAAGTAGTAAGTGCGGGCGGATTCTGGGCCACTTTTTGACCTTTGACCTTTGGGCCAAATAAGGCACACTGTGTCGGGCGTGCTTGGTCTGGCCCCGGGACCCCCCAGGGTTTGACCTTTGACCCCTGGCATGCCATAAATGTCATCCTTAAGGTTCTTTTCGCCATAGATGGCGAACGTGCACTTGTGCACGTTCGGTGCATTCGCACCGGGGAGTAGTAAAATACGTACTATCCCCTGATTTGCACATCGTAGATGTGCATTGCATGCAGTGACATATTGCGCATGCGTGCATACGCACGCGGAGCGTGTGACCTTCAGTGGTCCTATGCGTGTGGAAAAGACGCAGTGCAACACAAGGTGTACTAGTACACGTGTCATTATACTACTCCCTGATTCGCACTTCGTAGATTTGCAGCAAACAAAGTTCACGTTCCGTGCATTCGTTTTATTTGCACATCGTAGATGTGCACTGATTGACAAGTTGCCCATGCAGAGCATGCCTAATCGGCTTTTCGATCGGTTAAGAGAATGTTCAAATTCGGCCATATTATGAGCCCCAAGATCAGAATTCGGCTCAACATAGTACTTGAAGTCACCGTTCCCATTACGTCATGTACATTTACATACACCCTGTAGAAGCACTGAAACATCGGTTTTCGGCGAATTCAACATGCGAATTAGGGAGATGCCTACTATCCATGCAGGTGCATTAGATGCATATTTCTCTTTTGATTGGAATTCAGTTAGAATCAACCGGCTACGCCCGGAGTATCATGCATCAAAACAATTATTGAAGGGGTGTCACAGTGAAGCAGTGTTGCTACGCACCACAAATCCCCTCCGCCCTGCACCGAATTTATACTGGAGAATCCAGAGTGACCAGCAAAGAGTCACAACCCGCGGGTATCCAGTCACACTAAGGCATGTCCACCATTCCCCACATATTCACTGTAACAAAACACAATACTGTTTACTATAATACACTTTTATTTAAATTGACTTGGATGAGTCTGTAGAAGAGAACACAATGCACGCACACGCACGCATGCGCGGACACACACACGCACACACGCACACACACATCTAGGTTATAGTGCTATACACGTATCTAGGGTTTAGGAAGCACGAGAATATGTCGAAGCACCCACACATACCCCTTCATGCAGTGTACTTCAGTAGCCCAACACATTACGACTGCTCAGGACCATCACAAAATACATTACGACTGCTATAGCACAGTACCATCACAAAACACTACACACTGTTACTACACTGCACACACAGTTACTACACTACGCCTGTTACAAGTACTTACAAAATTAATAATTTTGAAACAAATGGCACATCCTGAAGACGGCAGCCCCAGACCTTCATACATCATCATCTGTGAAACCAAGCATGAGCGCACACAAACACTATTAGTGTCACGAATACGAAAGCAGGGTAAGACAAGAGGATACGAAACAAGTAAGTATCGCTATAACGATGGGGTAAGTATACATGTAAACAGAGCAGTGCTTACTTACAGGGTCCTAGTACGCTTTACGGCGTCCCGGTAGTCGGACTGCAACAGCAGTCCGACTTGCCGACCCTCCCAGTTACGGGTTAGATGGGCCGTACCCGTGAGGTGGGCGACCACGGCTGGGCCTCCCACCAGCCGTTCTCCACTGTAAAAACGAAAGAAACCGCAGAAAGCACAGTGTCATAGAGCTCTTTTGTTGGGGGAGAGAGCTAGGAGCACTGCACACTTACCATTTGTCACAATATATGATGAGAAAGAGGCGGCGCTTGACGCACCGCCTCAGGTGCTGGAGCAGGGGTATTACCCCTGTAAGTTCGACACCGGAGTGGCACGTGAACGTCATTTGGACTGTAATGATACTGAAGTGAAGGTGTGAACCGCAAAGCAAGACCTTTATCTTCTTCCTGTCGAATTCGCTCCCCAGCTGCATACCGACATCATCCGCTAAAATCCAATCATACCAAGTAACGCAAAGGTCATCAGTTGACCTTTTGGACTTTTCAACTCTTATCCGAAACCACCAAAAGGAAAAAACCCAGGATAATAATAATAATCTTTATTTCAGGATTACCCAAAGGCTAACGCCTATCTGGGGATGAAGAAGACGTCAGTTGTAGAAGCGTTTGTGGAGGAGTTGTTACATTATTCTCAGTAAATAGATATGGCTGATACATTCGGTGTAGACGTGGACGACCGGTCGTGGTCTCTCACCACGGGTCCTTTACTAATAGAAAGGCGGACGCCAATAAGAACTGTTGTGGAGTTGGCAGATCAAAACGCGCAGCAAGAAATTTGGCACGTCGACGGTAGACTCCATCGGGAGGACGGACCAGCTCTTGTTGATAGTAGGGGAGTGTCCGCCTGGTGCTATGGAGGTCGCCTTCATCGCGTTAATGAACCGGCTTGGATAGGACGGGGTAGCATCGAGTACTACCTCAACGGTGTCCGTCATAGAGCCGGCGGTCCTGCAGTCAGTTATTGTGACGCCACATGCTGTATTCTACGGTGGTATCACCACGGAATGCTCCACAGGGAGAATGCGCCAGCGGTGATACGCAGGGAAGGTAACAATCGTGTACGGGAGTGGTACCGATACAACCTTCGGCATAGGGAAGATGGACCTGCTTTCATCTCTCAGGAGGAGGAGGGTATCTATCAGTGGTACCTCAACGGG